CTCTCCATTGCATAAATAGAGAAAATTGTCACATTTGCAGCCCTTTAGTGAGTACCAAGGCAAATGGAACAATGTTACCAAAAATTCGACGTAGCGTACACAAATATTCAGCTTATTCAAAAATAAGTAGATTTTTATATGTTTTCTTAAACGAAGCCAACTGGAGGTTGTTATGGTATGACTTTTACAACAATTTTAACGAGCTTGAATAATTTTTCATTCAAAATTGGTTTGACAGCAGCAGCAGCAGTGCCAATGCGATTACCTGCATTCTTCTACCATGGCACGTTTTTGGGTAATTCTCATATAAATACATGTGTTTAAATTGTATGGTGAGAACGCTGTAATAAAAAGAGAAATAGGTCAGGGACTCGAATCGAAGTAGATACAAATTTAATTATAATGTAGCAACACACATTGCCCAGCAGTAACATTTCATATTAAAAATAGTATTTAAAAAATGGGGTTGAATCACAAAACGCCATATTGAATTTGAATTGAATCCAAAATAGAAGGACAATATTGTTTTAACCCAAAATCTTGAAGTTTGTTGCACAATAAAATTTAAAAAATCATTTTTGTGCAACTGAATTTGAAATAATTTGATATTGTTTCCTTTATTATTCAAAACAATACACACATACAAACTGTGCATATGTTTTGGCATAATATGGACACCATGGTATAGTTCTTCTCTCTACCATGGTAGAAAAATACAGGTAGATGCATCAACGCTTGGGAGCATTGATATGTCAAAAATTTTTATATTTCTTTTCAAGTTTAAGCAATTTCTTTATGTTTTCTTATACGACGTCATTCGGTGGTTATTATAAAATGCCTTTTTCAGCGATTTTTACAAATTAAAAAAAAATCATTCATCATTTTCAATTCCAAAATTGGTCTGACAGTTCATTGCCCCAGCAGCTGCGTCGATGCTTCTACCTATATTCTTCTACCATGCTCTCTACTCTATATTAATACTAGTGACATAATCGATATGACGTTTCATGATACATTCAGGAGAATGTTATGAAAGTTTTAAAATTAAACTTTTTAAGAGCTATTCTTCTGCGTTTTATATTTAGTAATCGAAATTCCAAAAATGAACTTATTTTGAGCATAATTTATTGAAAATTAATTGTTTTGTCTACATTTTATAACTCTGACAATTATATTACGTACAAAAACAAATTTGAATGTGGATGTTGTTATGTTGCTGATTACAATTTTTTCTATTTGGGCCCGACGTCCGCCAATTTTGTGTATTTATTTATTGTTTTGAAAAACAAGTAAACTTAAAAAATCGGTAATAATGTAGATACAATTATTAAAATACCGAATATCGGGAGGTACCGTTTTATGGGTGCTATACGAAGACGTGGGTCTGCACAGACAATTTTCTTTCTTAGGCTGTAGTATCCATTACCAACTTCAAATACCAAATTTGAAACAATTCCGTTGAGTTATGTCGCTAAAATCATCAATATACCGAATATCGGGAGGTACCCTTATATAGGGCTAAGACGTGGACCTGCACAGACAATTTTCTGTCTTAGGCTGTCGTATCCATTACCAATTTCAAATACCAAATTTGAAACAATTCCGGTGAATAATGTTGCTAAAATCATCAAAATACCGAATATCGGGAGGTACCGTTATTTGGGGGCTATACGAAGACATGGACCTGCACAGATAATCTCCTGTCATAGGCTGTAGCATCCATTACGAAATTCAAAACTATTCCGGTGGATAATGTCTCTAAATTGATGAAAATACTGAATATCTAGAGGTGCCGTTATATGGGGTCTATACAAAGACGTGGACCTACAGGGCCCAAGGCATTTCATTCTTTTTCAGGGCTGTATTTCTGCAGTTTTACGAAGTTATTCTACCTCTTTATCGTACCATGGTATTTAGGAGGGTACAAACCATGGTAGAATAAGGAGGTAGAACACCTTCGTAAAACTACAGAAATACAGCCCTGATGCTATGCCCGCTTCCTGTCAGACCCATTCAAAATTATATGCATCAAGTTTGTTTTCATTTTTTCACATTTTTCCTCATTTTTAAAATGATCTACATAGTTTTTAGTAAATTTGACCCAAACTGTTCAATTTTTCAATTTCATGGCTAAACTGGTTAATAGTTTTAATCCGCGAGCCGCAATGTATGTGTCTCCCAATCATTGGTTTTGAAAATATTTTGTTTTCATTTTTCAAAACAATAAATACATGCACAAAATTGGCAGAAGTCGGGCACACTTAGAAAAAAATTGTAATCAGCTTACCTTACCTTTTTATTGTACCATGGAACAAACCCATGGTATAATTATTACAGGTAACAGCAACTAGTGTCAAACTAGATATGAAGTTTTGTGATTCAATTCCATTTCTTGATATACAATAGGTATTTCCTTTTTATATAAAATTTCACTACAGGGCAATGTGAATATATTTGTTGTCTAAAAATAGAAAAATCACCGTTGTACTCATGGTACAATGATATCAAGGTAGGGCTATGATACCATATGATTTCAATTTTTTTATTTTCTTGGCTTAATATGTCATCTTTTTTTGTTTATGTATGTGTTTTCTTTTCAATAACAAAAAAACTGTTCAGAAAACATTCAAATTCGGATGTTTTCAAAATGTTTATTTCATCGTATGCATCGACGAAATCTAGAGTTTTTGTGGCGAAATAATCCTTTAGAGATATATATAGAGCCGGGTTTTGAGAAGAAGTGTTGACCTTTAATTCAGTTTTCGCAGTTTTCAATTATTTATTCAAAGTAAATGCAACAAGTTGTTTGATTTTTTTATTGTTTTGATACTAATTCTGACATTACAAGCCAAACAGGTAGACCTCTATACTTGCAATTTTTTCAAAGTTGACCTACCTTCTCTTCATTGTACCATGGTTGTACTTAACAAAACGCCAAAGGGGAAGGCTCGGAAACTTTTTTGCGGTTAAGGAACAGCGACACCACGTTAGATAATGTATTCGTATATTTCATATTTCCTAAAATTGCAAAATGTAGAATACTTTATGTATGTGTGCTGTTTGGTTTCAACTTGAAAGGTATTTTGCCTTTTCCACGATTTTCTAGCGATTGTTTGAAGTGTTGAGAGATTAGGACCAACAGCTAATAACTATACATTCAGGGGAATGACGTGAAAGCATTAAAATTTAATATTTTAAGAACTATTCTCTAAGTGTGCCCGACTTCTGTCAATTTTGTGTAAGTATTTATTGTTTTGAAAAATAAAAACAGAATATTTTCAAAATCAATGATTGGAAGACGAGTAAATTGCGAGACGCGCATTATAGCTATTCGCCAGTTTTACCATGGAATTGAAAGGTAGAACTGTTTAGATCATATTTTTGAAAGAAAATCCAAGCATTTAATTCATTTTTCCAGCTGTTTAACTGATTTTAAAAATGAAAAATATTGAATAAATGAAAACAACTTGTGGCATGAAAAATTGACAGGAAGCGGGCATAGCCTCAGGGCTGTATTTCTGTAGTTTTACTAGGCTGTTCTACCTCCATATTGTACCATGGTTGTTTCGATTGTTGTACAACAACACTTGCTATTCCCTGTATTCTTTTACCGTGGTACAAACCATCGTAGAAGAATACAAGTAGTTGCATCGAAGCAGCTGTCAAACCAATTTTGAAGTTGAAAATTTTGAATGAAAAATTATTCAAACATGAACAAGTTATTTGTCGAATAATACAAAAATTTGTTATACTTATCACAACGGCAATGGTATATATTTTGTCGCGATTAAGGCACAGCCACACCCCATTAGGGAAGTTGTTTTTCCCACGATTTTCTAGGGATTGCTTAAAGTGTTGAGTGATTTGGACCTACAGCCAACAACTACATATTAATAATTAAATATTTTAAAATCAATTCCTCTTTATTATCTTAAAAATGAACATTTGTTTACATTTTTTCACATATAACTCGGACACTTGTATTACGTACAAAAACAAATTTGCATGTGGTTGTTATGTTTGTTGTACAACAACACTTGCTGTTACCTGTATTTTTCTACCTTGATGGTTCAGTTATTAGAATTAATTCGGGTAGAGATTTTGTATGTAAACGTACTGTTATATAAAACATTTTTCCGGGTTTAATTGAAACAGCGTTATCTAAAATTCGACGTACTCAGTCGACGTTTTCACCATACTAGTAAAAGACGTGTATTTCTATAAAAGTAACCTAAATACGCCGGATGTACGAAATTTCCAAGTTGAACAATTTAAACATTGACAATTGAACAATTCTTTTTTTGTGTCTTAAAAACAGAAACAAAGAATACAAAAATGTGAATGTTTGTAATTTGCAATTGGGAGAATTTTGTAAGTCATAAATAGATTTAAATATATGGATATGGCGTATTTGGGTAATACGGACGTACCATGGCAGAAGAATACAGGTAGATGCATCAACGCTTGGGAGCATTGATATGTCAAAAAAATTTAAATGTTTTTTGAAATATAAATAGATTTTTATATGTTTTCTTATACTACGTCATTCGGAAGCTATTATAATTTGCGTTTTTCAACAATTTTTACAAATTTTAATAATTTTTCATTTAACATTTTCAATTCCAAAATTGGTTTGACAGTTCATTGTCCCAGCAGCTGTGTCGACTCGTCTACCTATATTCTTCTGCCATGGGACGTACAAAACATTTTACCACAATGGGGAAGTTGAATATTTGTGTATGCTTGAATTTTAGATAACGCAGTAATGTATGTTTTTCATATTGCAAAATTATTGTGATTGGACAGTGTTACCATTTTAATTTGTATGTGTAGGAAAAATTATATCAATGAAAGAGGTTGTATGTTTTTCATATTGCAAAATTATTGTGATTGGACAGTGTTACCATTTTAATTTGTATGTGTAGGAAAAATTATATCAATGAAAGAGGTTGTGTCGGACCATCGCAAATTAAAGTAACTGGTAGCCTAAATAATTGTTTAGGTACTTGGGTAATTGGTATGTAAAAAAAGATGGTTCCACACGCTTGAAGACATTAAATTTACAAACTAAGCAAAACGCGTGAACTTTTTAATAAGATTTCGGAGTGTTGATTATTATTTAGAAAAGAAATTGTAAATTCTTGCTTATCAAAAACCCTTCGATTTGTTGAAGACAGCAAAATGCGTAGAAGAAGTGAACGAAAAAAATCTTCGGATGTATCCTCGCCAGTCCCGGCGTCGCGACGTACCAACCGCCGCCGCAAATCTCCATCTATATCCGAGGATGACAAAAATGACTTGAAAAGCAATGAAGTAAATGAAAAACATATTTCCGAATCAAATGAGCTGAGTGCTGGAGAAAAAGAAAGGGATTCCAGCGAAGAGCGCGTTGGAATAAGGCGTAGACGTAGCTCACGCAGTACAAGAACTCCCATAAAAGAGCCACAAGAAACGAGTCCTTTACGTCGTCGTCGCAATCGCAGAGAAACAACACCACCAGAAAATATCATTTCATCTATTCAAGAAGAAGAAAATGTTGCCAGCGATGAAGATGCGTCTGTAAAAATGAAAAACGTCTTACAAGAAAAAAGTGAAATAGGAATAGAAAAAGAAGAAAAGTCAGAAAAATCAATACTAACATCTATAGATGCAAGAGAAGAAGCAAATGACGAGGATAAACTGGATGAGAAGCCAAGAGAATACGGTGAAAAACAGAACATAATAGAAGAGAAGGCAGAAAAGTCTCATGAAAATTTAAAAAGCGAAAAGCTTATCAGATCGTCTGAAGAGGAGACAGGTTTTTCTATTAAAAGTGATAAAGATATTGCTTCTCCGTCGGAGGATCAAGTTGACAAATATGATCAAGATGAAGTTAAAATACATAACCTTGGCAATGCCCCACGATCACGAAGTAACAGCAGTGTTCGGAAACTATCAACCAGCAAGGATACTAACGAAGATGGAGGAACTGAAGACAGAGAGGTAGTCGAAAAGGACGACAAATCTGGGGAAGCGCGTGCAATGAGAGATGACTTGCCCCAAAAGGATGAACATAAGTTGGAGGAGGTAAACCACAAAAATGACGGTAAAACTAATGAAACCTCTAATACTACTGCAGCAGCTGATACAGGTAGCAACAACAATATTGCAGCCGTTGCCCCTACTAATGCCACTACCCGCAAACGTCGTTGGATCACAAAAAAAGGCACTGAATGCAAAGAGCCTATTATGGCCATATCCACAGATTCGTTGAAGACTCTTATTGCAGATGTTCATCCTGTGCCGTTGAGCGATGTGCAATTAGAGTCTTCATCTGATGTTGAGGATGTGACTTCAGAGCGCGAAGAAGGGGAACAGTCTCCTTCACCAGAACCAGAAAGGCGTCGTGTTTCAACAGACAAAATTGAAATATCCGTCAAACCGCGGCCACAACAAAAGGAGAGCAGTCGTCAAAATCAGATGGTTCTTGGTGCGGGAACTGTCCCGGATCCCATACAACGTCAACCTAGTCCAGCCCGAAACCAATCCAGTTGTGTTTTATATATAACTAATTTAGTTCGTCCCTTTACAGTACTGCAGCTAAAGGGGCTTTTAGCAAGAACTGGAAAAATTGTAGAAAATGGATTTTGGATTGATCGCATCAAATCTAAATGCTACGTCGAATATGAAACTGAAGAGTGAGTTATATGGCTTTTATATATTTGTTATGTCCGAAGATAATTTTTTTCTTTTTGTAATACGTTTAGTGAAGCAATAGAAACACGACATGCTCTCCATGGAGTACGCTGGCCTGCTTCAAATCCAAAGTGTTTAAACGTTGATTTTGGAAATAAGTCTGATATGATTAAAGTAATAGAGTCCACAAAAGAAGAGGCACCGAAGTTTGGCCAAGAAACGAACAAGGACAATGTATTAGTCGGATCGGGCTGGAATAGGGATCGTACAGATGACGAAAAAAGGGTAAGTGTGCTTACAAAAGCTTAGCATATAATATGTAGAATACTTTACATACCTACTAAGATAATTATAATTGCTCAAACCCTTCTTTACACAGAATGCTCAGATCATTTTGAGAGAATAATTGTTTGGGAAAGATTATTCGAAATGTTACAGAAATACGTAACCAACAAATGGTCATATGATGGACCATTAAAAGGTTTGAGAGTAATACAAGAAAATTCATATTTTCGTACCGGAACTTTTTGAAAAAAAATGCTCAGAACCTAAAATGAGTCCATAAGCGAGCTTTATACCAAATTATAATTTACACTATTGCCTATCCGAAATTAGCGAATGTGTGTTAATATCTCTTTTTGAGATTTTTTCCTCCAATCTGCGTCAATTTAAAAGTTTTTTTATAGGCTTGAAATATTTCTACTCTGGTGTATGTACAACAACACGCAGTACGCGATTCATAGTTTTTCTAAGTAGCCGGCCTTCGACCGGGGCTTAATATTTTCATAGGGCGTATGTCAAACATTAATAACACGATATGTGGTTTTTCTAAACTTAATAATTTTTATAAGTAGCCGGCTTTCGACTGAGGCACGAAAATTTATTCTCTGTTACTTCTCATAGTATTCCTGAAACTAATATTACTTTACCAGAAGTGCCTGTCCAACACCAACTACACTTAATAGTTTTTTAAGTAGCCCGTCTTCGGCAACTAGACATGCCTCAAATTCTATCCAAAACTTAACTTCACCCAAAAAATTATAAAACTAATATATTTGGAATCAAAAAAGATATTGACAGAAATAGCACTATCTCTCTCTACTATCCAATTTTTAGGGGTTTTTTCAACAAGTTCCGGTACGAAATATAGATATTCTGGGTCGAATATCCAGGTGACCAGAACTTTCCTTCTCGAGAAAAATATTTTCAACTAATCACTTAAAAATACCTACATGTAGCAAAAAAATTGTTCTGTAAAATATTTCAAATGCAAGTTCCATTCTTTTTTGTAAGATTATTTTCTTTTGGGAGTTCTATAAGAAACATGCAAAATATGCGGCGTGTATCCTCTCATATTTGACCGTCTATAACCCCTTGAAGAGCATACCGTTCGTTGTTTTGTTGTTGCAAAATGGTCAGACTTAATCCCTTGGTCAGACTTAATCCCTCCAACTTTTGTTTCGTTGTTATAAATATTGTTTTTCGCCTATATCATTTTTTGCATAAGTGGTCTTATTACGAAGTTTTTTTCTGTTATGAATTTATAATGAATTTATAATGAAACTTGTTAAGGTTTGCTTTAGGAAGCACAAGAAAAATAAATGAAAATAAAAATAGTTGTTTGATTTTTCCAAAAACGTATTTTTGGCAAAGAGATTTATGTTATTCTATAGAATATGCTTATTCAAACCTGTTCTTAGCTTAAACATCTATAGAATGAATCCCTGATATATATATATATATATATATATATATATATATATATATATATATATATATATATATATATATATATATATATATATATTATATATATATATCAGGGATTCATTCTATAGATGTTTAAGCTAAGAACAGGTTTATATATATATATATATATATATATATATATATATATATATATATATATATATATATATATATATATATATATATATATATATATATATATATATATATATATATATATATGTATATATGATATCACCTATTTGTTTTTTAGGTCCACGTTTTCATATAGCCCCCATATAACGGTTCCTCCCTATATTCGGTATTTTGATGATTTTAGCGACATTATTCACCGAATTTGTTTCAAATTTGGTGTTTGAAGTTCGAAATGGATACTACAGCCTAAGGCAGAAAATTGCCTATGCAGGTCCACGACTTCGAATAGTCCCCTTTTATAACGGTACCTACCAATATTCAGCAATTTGATGATTTTAGCGTCATTATTCACCGTAGTAGTTCCAAATTACGTATTTAGAGCTCGTAATGCGAACTACAGTCCGTGACAAAAAATTGTCTATGCAGGTCCAGGTCGTATAGGCCCCAGATATCAGTACCTCCCTATATTCGGCATTTTGACGATTTTAGGTACAATACTCACCGAAATTGTTTGAGATGTCGTATTTGAAGTTCGTAATGGAAGCTACAGCCAGCGACAGAAAATTGTCTATGCAGGTCCAGGTCTTCGTATAGCTCCTATATAACGGTACCTCCCTACGTACGGTATTTTGATGATTTTGGCTACATTATTCACCGTTTATTTCAAGTTGCGAATTTGAATATGGTAATGGCTTGTGACAAACAATGCCAATGTAGGTGCACGTCGTACAGGCTCTAATATAACGGCTATATTCGGTATTTTTTAAATGTTAACAGAATTTTTGGCGAATGTTATCTTTTTTGAAAATTTTCAAATTCGTTCTAAATGGTGGAGGGTATTCAAAGTTCGGCACGGCCGAACTTACTGCTTTTTTACTTGTTAATTTTTGATTTTAATTCGTACGGAAAAATGGGAGGAAAATATTTACATTTTACACAAAAAAAGTTTTCAAAATCTTGTAAAACCATTGCACAATGGACCCAACAACAGATTTTCTGTCCACAACTATTTCAACGTCTCTATATGTAAACTCTAGAAACCCACAACGACTTCAATATCAAATTTCAGCTCCATCGTAATATAAAATTACGATCAATAACAAATTTAATTCAATTAGAACAACTATAGTACGCACCTCTTAATCTCAAGTTCATCTCCAACTCTTTTCGTAAAATTATAGTACACATTTCTGAAACCACCTCCACATTAACAGCGACCCTAACACAAATTTTCAGATTACTTACTTTGCTTTGCTAAGGGAAGATCATATGTTTATATTTTATTAGTTTGTTTCTCTTTCGAGATAAGCTTAATGATCTCATTCTCGAAAAAGAAATAAACAGGTAAATAATAAACATATGATCTTCGCTTAACAAGGCAAAACTCAAAAAAAAAATATATATAATTATTAAAATTAAAAAAAAAATTAAGTTCGACCGGTCCGAATTTTTAATACCCTCCACCTTAGGGTAATGGAAACACTAGAACCAATTATGACCCACAAATACCAACTTTTAGACATATTCGTGGGAAAATGTGGCAAAAATCATCAAAATATCGAATATCGGGATGTTTCGCCAACGGAGCTAGAACTCATTATGACCAACAAATTCCAATTTTTAGATAAATCCGTGATAAAATGTGACAAAAACTATCAAAATACAGAATATCGGAAGATACCGTTATACGGAGGCTATACCAAAACGTGGACCTATACATGCAATGTTTCGTCGCTCGAACTAGGACCCATTATGACCAACAAATACCAATTTTTAGACAAATCCGTGAAAAAATGTAGCAAAAATAATGAAAATACCTAATATCGGGATGTACCGTTATATGGGGACTATACCAAAACGTGGACCGATACATCATTTTCAATACAAACCATCCTAGACATAATAGAATTATTCTGCTAAATTTCGATGCTCTACGTCTAATAATGTGGGCTGTATTGTGATTTCAACAGACGGAAAGACAAGCGGGCATCGTTAAATCGTCTTAGAATTTTATGCTGATTATGGGGTCTACGACGAATATTTAGGGATGTTACAAACGGAATGACAAAGTTAATATACCCTCCTTTCCAAGGTGGAGGGTATAATAACGAATATAAAACTAAACTTTTTTTGACACACGTTGATCACTCAAGATCTGGTATGAAAAGCGTTTAGAATGGAGGACTCCCCCACAATAGGACAGACTTTTGAAAAGCCAAGAAGCTCATAAAACGCGAATTGAGCATCCGATCACTTTCGAACTCGGCCCATCTCAATATATCTACTAACACAACATCAAATTTGAACATGGAATATATCGGACAACTCTTCTGGTACCTCCCATTTAACGGGTCAACATTTTTAATAATTATAACTTTCATAAAAAAACATCTGATTCTCATTAAATTTCACAAATCACAATATTTTTACTAACACACGATCTGGTGTGAAGATGGGATATATCGGCCCATATTTTGGGACCTCCCACAAAGGGGTCAACATTTTGAATAACAAAACACTCATAAAATGCAAATTAAACATCCTATTCCACATCCCAATATTTCTACTAACACAAGATTTGCTGTGAAGGCAGGATATGTCGGTCAACTCCTTCCGGCATCTCCCCCACAAAGGAGCTGACAATTTGAATGATCAAAACGATCATAAAATATGGTAAATGCATCTGATTCTTTTCAATTTTTACACATGCCAGTAATTCTGCTAACACAAGGGTCAACATTTTGAATAATCATAACACATGTCAAAATATATTCTCCCGAGTGATACTTTTTAACTTGTTTTTTTTTATTTATTTATTATTATTATTTAGGCATAGGATTTTGAAGGCATATTGTTACTGTTTCATATAAATTGTTTCGCTTGGTGCTTCATTCAATTTAAAAACTTAACTCAGAATAAAATATAACAAAGTTCAAAGCAAAATTTGTAATATAAATCAATAAAATCACTATATTCTAATCTATTTCACAGTTAAATATATAAAACAGAATGTAAAATTATTGTAAATAAAAAATTAAAACAAACCATTATCATCACAGGGCTCTCGGCCAGTGCGGGAGTGGGATGTTGGCAAAAAGGAGAATCTGGACCGTGATAATAAGGGCATCAAGGATATTGAACGACGTCGTGAACGTAGCCGGGAACGTGATAGCTCTAGAAATAGAGATTTTGATCGAAATGATAGAATTGAACGTGACAGGAATGACCGCGACAGAGAAAGGAGACTGCGACGTGATAGAGAAAATCGCAGCAGTAGTTTATCGCCAGGTAAAAACAATATTTGATATTTGATTTGTATGTAAATAAACAATAAATAAATTTTCAGCAAGAAAACAGAAGAAGAAAGAGGATCCACCACTAAGATTATTAGATGATCTATTTCGTAAAACAAAGGCTACGCCCTGTATTTACTGGTTACCATTAACTCCTGAACAGGTAAGAAATAATATGTTGATTTTGGGGACTTGTAGACATTCTTAATATGTTGGATGTAATTATTATAATCGTGGTATGCACACAACTTTTGTTGAGTTGATTCTGCATTCGATTGTTTTTTTTTTATCATTGCTTATTTATCATTATTCGAAAACCCAATACCCCTCATTTCCTCCGTAAATTGAACTTATGTTTTCCTTTGTAATATTCATACAGAATTAAATGTGTGATTGATAAATGTTATATTTTAAATAAATTTACATCAGAATGTGTTCCAATCGTTACAATTAAAATTCCAATAAATATCCATGGATAAGAAAAATCAAAAATCAGGCTTAACTATTGATTATATTGGTTGCTAGGTCCAAATATACCTTAGAGTCTCGCGACAAGATTAAAAATAATGTTAAATTTAATTTTAAATCCTTCATGGTTTCGTTAACTTAAAAAGAAAGGGGATTTATTTGACTAGTGGGTTAAGCCATTTATATGTAAACGTACTGTAATAGTCATGTAATAACAATGGTAAATAAAGCAACGGATAATCAGGATTTGTAACACGATTGGCCAAAGAATTTTCTGATCCATGTAAAACAAAATATTTATTTACGTCTCTTGTTAGGCCTATATTAGAATACGGTTCGGTTCTATGGGGTCCTTATATGCAATATACTCTGATAAAATTGAATCAGTGCAACAACAATTTCTGCTATTTGCCCTAAGAGATGAGATTTGCATGGGAATAGTAATTTTTATACTAGCAGGGGAAAATAAATACGATTGCCTACACTTAAAAACAGGCGTATTATGTTGAACTCCATGATGATATTAAAAATATTAAATGGTAACATACCTTTTTCTAATCTCAACTATTATAATTAATGTTTATTGTAAATCTAGAAGATACTATAAGTTATTATATACCGATTTTCATTGCACAAATTATTCAATGGGTGAAACCTTTAATAAAATGTTTGTTGGTTTCAATTCTGGGAACTCTAATGTAGATTTTTATATGAGTTTAGAAGTTATTAAATGAAAAATAATTTTATTATTAAACGACTAAAATATGTATGTTCAATTATTTTTACAAACTACTTAATTCCCATTATGATGTGCACACGCAGGTGGTCACCTTAGGGGTGGAAAAGTGATGCGTAAATTTAAAACAATTCTTGGAAATATTCCGAATAAGTCTTAATGTCTATCATATAGTAAAACATAAACGACTTTCATTCATTTTAAAGTTGTACTATCAAGACAACCAACGACGTTTTATGACAACCAAAAAATTTTATATTTTATGAACGTGTATAACATTTTTTTTTAAATTCTATGTTTCATTACAGATTGCTGAAAAGGAAGCGTTGCGTTTAAAGCGCTTAGAAGAACAAAAGCAACGCTTGAAACAAAGGGAATTAGAACGTGAAAGGGAACGAGAACGTGATAGAGAACGGGAACGCAACCGTCAAAATCACGACAGAGATCGATCAAGAGAACGTGAACACCGTCGACCAAGATCGAGCGATAGAAGACGTTCTCGTAGTCGTGAACGCCGTCGTTATTAAAGTGGCACGTGGTGGTATTTTTCTCTAATTGCAGATCCGTTATAAAGGCATAATTTTAATGTCTTTTCTATATTTCCTTCTTTTAGGGAGAAAATGATGTTATCACACACATATTTAAAAAACGATATCGGTTGTTTTTTCCTTAAACTCAGTAAAGCGTTTGGAAATTTTGTTCCAACTTAAAAATTTTGTATTCGTACAAATAACAATGAGACCACCACTAGAGTTGAGCATAAAAAAACAATTATTCGCTTGGAAAAATTGTTCATAATTTGTTTCAAACGACATATTTCCTTAATAAACGTATTGCCTCATTGCTCATCTCAAATATTATTAGGTATTTCTATACACTCAAGTGGACTTATTTCTTTTCCTCTTTATACAGTATGTATATTCTTTATTCTTCTATAAACATTTATTTGCAAATGGTTTTTTATATATCTTTTTTGTTTTTCATTTATTAAAACATTTTTGATCTTAAGAACTTTTTAGCGCATACTAGAAATTTGAAATCTGATCTGCCATCCCTATAAATAACTGCAATCCCTACAACATTAAGCCGAGTATGTTTTTATGCCCACAGCGCCAAATCGCCCTGATTATGAAGGAAGGAATTACCGTGCTACCGATACACACCAACATTGAAGCTAATCACTTAATTCACAGCTATACTCACAAGGTCGTCACTCAATTATATAAATGAAAAGCATCATATTTGACTCCTGCTTAATTTTTATTTTTCGGATAAAAATGACAAAAATACAAACTTGTATGTACGTACGTTACACTGACAGTGAATAAATAAAAAAATGTGTGTCATATTTCCAATATATCTACAGTCGAAGGAATACACCATCCACATATAAACAACAGAAAAATTAAAATTACATATTTAATATTTTAAATGTTTGTATCATCTACAAAAGTAATACTAAATTATAACAAATAATAAAAGTAAACATAGAATTCAATAAATTTACTTTTTCGCACTTAAATCTAAATTTAAATTCATACATACTGCATACACTATTATGCCAATCATGAATAAAAATTCCGTTTGGAATTTCTCACTATTCATATCATATCACAATATTGATATCATAAACAATAATTCACCTTGGAAAATAATACTAAGGGAGAAATATTAAGTATTACGAATACTATAAAAATTGCAAAACCAAAGGCAGGTTGCAAAGAAATTGAAATGTTCTATCAGAGCAACGACAATATGTACATTAAGGAAGTTTGCTTGGCTTTTATACTAATATACACAATTTAATGTCGGGAATGTTAAAGTTATGTGTTAAGTTAGACTACTGTTCATATAAACAAGTATTTAAACTTAGTAGCATTTTGCTTTCTATATTGTAATGCAAGCCACACACGATACAACTTTTGGTACAACTTGGAGAGCAGCCAAGTTGTGTGCTTCGGTTACAAACGAACATTGTGTACAACTTATTTTTTCAATGAGTATTTCTGTTCAGATGGCACCGGAAAATAATTCTTACTCTATAATTAACTTAATGGCTTTCATTTATTATTCCTTTTTAAAAATTCTATTTTATAATATTCACTAAAATCAGACACTTGATAAAATTTCGTGTGGTGTTGTCTTTCAAAAAGAAACACAAAATGGAATTGTATGCGAAATACCCACAAACGTTACAATCGGTTGGTACAACATGCCAAATATGAAATTCTTTTGATTTTTCGTACAACCTGTACAAAACTTCGTACAACCAGCCCACAAACGATACAATATTGAATACAAACTATCCAAGTTGTATAATCAGTTGTATCGTGTATGGCTTGCATTGGTCGTTCACATACTCTTTTCATATTGTTCATTCCTTGGTATAAATACCATGTAGCAACATAGGCGAAAATTACAACAAAGCAACTTTTTCGGATCTTGATATGTCAACATTTTAAGCAAGGCGAATTTATTTGCATATAAAATTTGGAGAGGTATTTTTACCTTGATTCCGGGAAATAACTTTTTTCTTGGGGGACGGACCCTGGACCTCAGTCCGAGCTCAAGGCCCGGGGCAGACCCAGATCCACTTACCCAATATAGACAATATACTTTCGTTGGAAAGCTTATTAAAATACCTATCCAACAAGTGGTCATGACGGTGTTATTTAAAGCGGTGCGGAAGTTATAGTCAAAATATCAATTTTTGGACCCGGATTTTTTTATAAAACGCCCAAAAAATCGAAAAGGGTCCATTATGGGGGTCAACAAAATTATAGCTGACATTCTTCACTTTCTGGCTATTCGGACTAAAGTTTTCTCAATTTAACAGCTGTTGTAAGTAGCCGGCCTTCGTCCGGGGCGTAAAATTTTCTTCACACCGGCTAATGCGAACCAAAGTTGTCTAAATTTGATAATTTTGTAATTCCAACGCCGTCAACATAAAGCTTTTTTATTGAAAACAATGTTAATGAACTGGTTAGACTCGGGTTACGGGTGGAAAGACCCATATACCTGGACCCGTCATGTGATAGGTATTTGTTGAATAGGTATTTTCATATGCTTTCCAACGATACCTATATTGTCTACATTGGGTAAGTGAATCTGGGTCTGGACCGTTCTTGAACCCGGAGTTTCTATCCAAAAATATGGTGGCCCGGGTTCGTCCCCCAAGAAAAAAAGGTTTCCCAGAATCAGAACAATTTAAAAAAATTGAGGAGTTTTTACTAAACTAGAGTTAAGCCCTGGTTTTCTCTTTTCACATTCTCCACTATAGTATGAAGGGTATATTAAGTTTGTCATTCCGTTTGAAATGATCAGCATAAAATTCTATGTCGATTTAGCGATGTCCGTCCGTCTGTTAGATTGATAAAATTTTACCCAAATATATATTATGTCTGCAGGACTTTTGGTATTGAAAATGGGCCATGTTGGTCCTCGTTTTGGTATAGCCCCCATTTAACGGTGCCTCCTGATATTCGGTACTTTGTTGATTTTATCGACATTATTCATCGGATTTTTTTAAAATTTAATATTTGAAGTTTGAAATGAATGCTACAGCCTATTATAGAAAATTGTCTGTGCAAGTTCACGTCTTCGTTTAGCCCATATATAACTATACCTCCTGTACTTGTGTAGTTTGATGATTTTAGCGACATTATTTACCGGAATCGTTTCAAGTTTGGTATTTGATATTCGTAATGGACGCTACAACCTATGACCGGAGATTGTCTGTGCATGTCCACGTCTTCGTATAGCCCCCATATAACGGTACCTCCCGATATTCGGTATTTTGATGATTTTATCGACATTATTCATCGGATTTTTTTAAAATTTAGTATTTGAAGTTTGAAATGAATGCTACAGCCTATTATAGAAAATTGTCTGTGCAAGTTCACGTCTTCGTTTAGTCCCTATATAACTGTACCTCCTGTAATTGTGTATTTTGATGATTTTAGCGACATTATTTACCGAAATCGTTTCAAGTTTGGTATTTGATATTCGTAATGGACGCTACAACCTATGACCGGAGATTGTCTGTGCAGGTCCACGTCTTCGTATAGCCCCCATATAACGGTACCTCCCGATATTCGGTATTTTGATGATTTTAGCGACATTATTCACCGGACTTGTTTCGAATTTGGTATTAAAAGTTCGTAATGCATACTTCAGCCCAAGACAGAAAATTGTCTGTGCAGTCCACGTCTTCGTATAGCCCCCATATAACGGTACCTCCGGTAATACTAATGGTAATTTTAGCTGTTTCTGTCCCCTATACAGTATGATATAAATAAAATCATATAAAAAACGATTTTTTGGATTTACATTCAGTTGGCTTATTTAATTTTCAAGTCGTTCAAATATTTTTTCATGTAAAATTCTTCAAGCATCAAGCTGGATGCTTCTGCCTAAAAATGAATAAAAGAATTTTGAAGAAATGATCGCTCAACTGTGTATGTACCAAAAAAACTGCAAAGGTGTTGTTGCCGTGAATAATGAAGAAGCATTGCATGTTAACAATATCAAGAATATAATTCCTCAAAGTAAAAATTCCAAATCGAACAAAAGAAGTGGTGGTTGTAATTATTGTAATAAGAAATGGCTATTGGGTACGCGATTGTAGAAAATGGATAAGTGATGGTAAGTCAAAAAAGGAATGATGCCAAGAAGCAATTGCGGTTCAAGAGCAAATTAATTCAACTAGAAAGGATTTTTCGAGTAATTGGTGAATAGACAATGGAGATAATGGGGCAGCACGACACGTTACAACAAATAGAAGACTAATTATTTACAACTTTTGAGAAGTTCGGCGATTGTTGCAAGATTAAAGCCGATGGTAGTGAAATGTTGGATGACATTGGTAAAGGAACAATTAAAATTAAAGCAAAGATGAACAATAAGTTATTTGTTATTACACTAACAGATGTTTGGTACTTTCCAAATATATCAAAGAATTTTTATTTTTTATCTGCTCAAGACAAATGTTTAAACAGTGCATTCAATGCAAACTTTGGTGGACAATCAATTGTTGTTAGTTGGTCATCGGGAGAAAATAGGCACCTATATCACTAGCCTTGTGGAAACCAAAATAGATGACACTTATAAAAGAAATTTAATGATCTTGACTTGTGTATTTATAGTAAATCACATAGGTTGCCTTTCGGTACAAGATTGGTATCTATTTCTAATTGCTGTCAGTAAAAAGAAGTATTTAGTCACGTTTAAAGATGTATACAGCAACTATTGTCTTGGACACTTCTTAATGGAAAAATCCGATGTTAAAATCGAGTAAAGCAAATACTTAAAGAATATGGAGTTACGCAGAGACTAACTTCTCCATACACACCACAACAGAATGGGACAAGCGAGAAAGAAAATAGAACAGCTTTCGAGATGGCACGTACTTTTAAATGCTCAAATAAAATTATCAACATCCTGATGCTGTTTAGGCTGAGATAGTTCCTTCTGCAATATATTATATTAAGTACGATACCGTTACAGAAATTTTATCGAGGAAACTACAGCGTAATATTGTCACGAGATGTACAATTTAATGAAAAACTTATAAAATGCGATGGTGACGTTCAATATATGAAAGAACGATTTTAAAATGATTGGGTTGAGGAAATAAAATTGCCATTAAGGAACCATGAGAGACCTAAGAAACAGGGTGATCAGCCAAGTACTATTAAAGAACAGAATTACCAGTCAAGTATATTAATAAATGATTAAGCCATTCAAGGTCAATTTGATTGGGATAAAGATGCCATATTTGAAGAATGTATTTGAAAATGTTGGTGTACAATGTATAACCATATCTTGTACTGTATATATATCTACCTTGTTTAGAAATGTAGTAGGCATTGATATGTATACATGTTTTATATGAAAAAATATTTTTTCATTCCATTCAAGAACTTAAATAAAGCCGTTTGTTTGATATAAAACCGCTGCGTGTTTCAAACTTTCCAATAGGTTATAGGCCCAGAGGTTACGTGGAATATATCGGGAATTTTAATTCGTCTTGCGAGAATTAATTTAAATCAGTAATTCGTGTTTTTAACGGCAAAAATGAATGGAACAAATGTGCAATTTCCTAAGCTTTCAAATTCCAACTATCATAATTGGAAATTCAATATGGAGCTGCTATTGCTGGAACGGGAACTATGGGATATCATCGTTCAAGAAGTGCCAAGTACTCCTGATGCGAAATGGTTAATTCGTGACGGAAAAGCAAGGGCGACTATCGGTTTAGCGGTGGAAGAATCTCAAAAAGTTCATATCAAGAAGCTTAAGACAGCTAAGGAATTTTGGAATGTTCTAAAGAAGCACCACGAGAAGTCAAATTTAACAAATAAAGTAAGTCTTCTACGTCAACTGTCAACAAAGAGAATACAAGGAGGTCAGTCGATGGAAGAACATATCACGGAATTTATGGATATTGTGGATCGTTTAAATGACCTTGGTGAGTAAATTAGTGAGCACAAGACGGTGGCAT